CTACTTTTATTTTATATTATTTGTGTCAGAAGTGACCGTTTTTTTTTTCTTTCATTCTTAGCACAAGAAATAGGAGAAAGCAGCGGTACTAACCATGTAAGTAAACAGTCAGAAAGTCGAGAAATTGTAGTTTGATGTAAAATTATGTCTTTCTTGATTCCTTTAAATTATAATGGGGACCCAGTGGTGATAGGATGGACCTCGTTTCACGGATTTTCTGAATCTCTTCTACTTTCCTATCAAATTTATCCCCAAAATTCTTCAGCTTAGTGTGCCCACCTTTTAAGGATTGCTGACACTCAAGTTAAATTTCAGTAGTTGGTTGTGGTATAAAGATCTGCTTTAAATATTTAATCTTATTTTTAATGATATAACAAAAATAGAAGAGCTAAGTTAGTTGTCAGTATGGTCTATTGGCCCTCTGTCACAGCAGGTGAAAGCATATCTTCCTTGCCAACCATGACCTTATTTTTCTCCCTCTGTTTCTTTGAATTGTAGCACACTTTTTAATTCAATCAGTAATATTGACATGATTATGACTATCCAAATATTATTCACTGCTGAATTATATGTTGTTTTCACTGTGCCTCTTCATTACATATTCCTTCATCCTTTTTCTGAAACAGTTCTGAAATCTGAGCACTTCTGCACTTCTTCTGGATCATCTTTTTTTCCTAGCCTATGCTGGTTTATCCAGCCAAATGCAGTAAGTAGCCTCTGGATGGTCTGTCACTTTATTGAAAAATAATAATTATTGTTAAGTTATATTTTACATATAATTTACATTTCACATCCATTATTTTTTAGCATGAAGCTAATATTCTGACTATATTCGTTTGCCTGTTTTCTAACAGCTGATCCCTCCCCACATGCCTTTCAGAGATATTTTCCATCTGCTAAAACATACCTGTTCCTCTTTGTTTTTGGCGGGTGGTGGGCAGCCTTTCTTTGGCCTTTTGTCATCGTAGTTTAGTATAGAGTGGCTTTCCCTAGATATGCTTGATGTCTTAGTCTATCTATGCTATCTCTTTAAAGTCTTTTGGGATCTCACATAACTGCTGCCTTGCGTGGGATCGCCTGAGTCCTAGATTCTGTGTTTCCTTCTGTCCTGTTATCCTCTCTAGTCGTACTTAAGCACACTTTCCTGGGCAGAGATGTTTAGAGATCTGAGCAGTCTTAAAATTCTCCGTCCTTGAAACAGAGTAAACTTCTAGGTTGAATCTAAATTTTATGGTTTTGAAGATATTCTGCAATTGTGATCTCATCACAGTGTTGTTCTTGAATCTGTTGCCATTGTGTGACACGTTATTTATAACCGCGTTTTATGTATTTTTGGAAGCTTTTTCAGAGCTTTTCTGTCTCTGAGATTCTGAAATTTCATAATAACAGCTTGGCGGGTGATCTTTTCATTTTACTGAGGCTACTAAATATGCAGACTCTCTCTTTTTGAGAATGTTTTTTATTTTCTCTGTTTTTTTAAGTTATTATCTGTTTTCAGGGTATGAGAGAATATTTAAGTGATAATCTTTTTATCCTCCACATAAGAAAACAGGACTAGAGAAACCTATGGCTTCCTCACTTGGTGGTGGCCTAGCAACCTTGGCACACAGAACCTCTGAATGTGACACACCTGTTTTGTCACAATATTGCCTGAAATAATACATGTAGGATTAGTAAGTTTGTAAATACATTAGTCTTGTATTCATTGCAATAAATTTCTCTTGTACCAGTATTATTTAATACATTATATTTTATTGTAATAAATTAATAGAAATTCTCAGCTGTTTTATATCTTGGTAGAAAAAAACAATGAAATTGCATTTTAAACTTTTGTCGTTATATATAAAGAGAATTCATAAAATCCTTGTTAGGTTTGATGACAGGTAGCATATTAAGAGCAGCATTTTCTAACTCATATCTCAGTATCATCTCTGGAAGTTAAGAGCTTCCAATGGTTTTTCTGTAAAGTGCACATGATATCACACTCAGGCAGTTCATGGAGTGTAAGAAATATCTTAGTGCTTTGTCATTTGACATTTTAACTGAGAAAAAAAAAAAACACACTTTGATAAGTTTACCTTATCCTTCCCTTCCTCTTTAGATATATGCGGATCATTCTTCTTTAAAATTCAGCTCATGCTCGACCATTTTTCTTGAAGACACCACAGCCAGCTGCCCTCATTTTAAAATGAC